TATAGTGATCTTTTATATCATCAATTTCTAACATGACTTGTTAATTGTGACAGTCTAACAAATCGAGTTAGTTCTTCAAGTAGTGTTACCAATCGAATTCTTGTTGACATGAATTAATTGAGACTATTGGTAATGGAGTAAATTATAGCCAAAAGAGACCATAAATATTAGTCATATAATTTAGGGCCCAAAAAATAAGACTTAATAGTTGGTAGTTGACATACCACCTAGCTTTGAAAACAATCAATCCTGCAATCCACATGTCTGTCAAGGACTCCCGTACTCCCATTACTTGAACCTAGAGGCACAAATGCACAATAATAATGGGAGGCCAAAAAAAAAAAAAAAAAAAAAAAGACCCAAAAGTTATTTTTAAAATATTTGTGTAAAATAATACTTTAGAGTAGTTATGTTACTTATGTAGCAAATATGTATACAAATCATTTTTATATGAAGTAATACTTGGACTAATCAAAATCCATGCACTAAAAATACTTTGATTTAATTTAAGGTAAAAATTTTCTTATTCATCCTCCTTTATGAGAGACTTTGCGCCTTTACAAAGTTTTAGATCAACGCGATCATCCCTTTTCTCGTGATATAATTTTAGAACTAATTAATATAAACAAATGTATTTTTGTTTTCATCAGTACTTAATCAACGAGAATATTCTTAAACATTTACATTCAAATAGATCTTTTGTTTTTGGAAGGAGTCGATTGCAATTAATTAATAAATATTTCTAAAAAGAATAAATTAATATATTATGTTGTTTGGTTGATGTGGGAATTTAATTCCCAAAGGAATTTATACTTCATGGGAAGTTAATTCCTTAATGAAATTCCTAGGAATTTCTTAAATGTGTTTGGTTGGCAATGAGGGAAATTAGAATTCCCATGAATTTTGGTTTACCTAGGGGGGGCTAGGTAATTTACTTCCTATGTTTTGTGGGAAGTTGAAATTCCCATGAATTCCCACTTCCCCCATTTTTGCTTTTTGATGTCAATCAAACAACTCCTCATTTTCTCAATTCCCATGAATTTTCAATTCCTCCATTTTAGAATGTCAACCAAACAAGGTCTTAAAGTTATAAGCAATGGTACTTAAATATGGGATTGAATTTCATGTGCAATATGCAATAAAAAAGAGGCTAATGGATTTATAATTTTATTTGAATATTATATGCTACTACTATAATATAACCTTTAAAAATCATAGTAGTACTAGCTAGCTACATACTAATAAAATTAATTATTACATACACATTTTATCATTCAATAATAACTATATAAATATGTGTATCTCACAACAAAACAAACGAAGATAATCATATTGTAAAAAGACCTAAGCTAGGAATTCAAGCCGTTAGTACAAATTAGAACAATAAATCTACTTATACTATATACTATAACTAAACTAATTTAACTACATACTCGTACTATATATCTATGTGTTTGGGTACTAAAATGGTCATACCCATTTTAGTCTTGGGTAACTCTACCCATATAAGCCCAAAGGGCATAAAAAAGGTATAAAAGGCCCCAAATAAGTCAAATACATCAATATGGCCTTCAACGGCCCACATATGTAATTTTAGGGCTCATAAACCCACTTATGTACTCATATAAATACCCCTCAAAGGGCATAAGGTAAAAGGAGGTCACTCTTATCATCTAAGATGACCATACTCCTCCACTCTCTCCCCTAAACTCCTCTCAAAATATGCATTGTTTGGCAACTAACTTGGGCGTCGGAGGCTCCGCCCCGGGTTCAACCCCCGGCTCGGGGTTCATTTTGCAGATCCATTCAAGGCCCAAATTCGAGGTTCTCAGACACCCCTCCAAGGCCCGGTTAGCTCATTTTTTGCCGAAACAATTTGGCGCCGTCTGTGGGGAGACGAGTACTACTACCAATGAAAATCCACTAATTCATGGCTACTGTGTTCTATCACGAAAAAGGGTCAAAATTTCTAGCAAATTTAACCCAAAATTATTACTCCTGTCAAAAGGGGTAATCATTCTTGCAAATGGTGGAGATGATAGATAAACATTTTGATTTGTCGCCAATCTAACCACTACTAACAAGGTACTTCGTGCCTTTACAAAAAAAATTGGGAAATATTCCATGAATATGTTCAAACCTTAATTATTCTTGAAGAAGAATAAAAGCTAGATCTACGTGGCTCTAATGGAAAGCTCACAAAAGCAAGCCTTTCATTCACACCACCAAGTTGAAGAGGCAGCAGGTGGCATGAAACATACATAAAAAATCAATCAAGTTTATGTAAATTCAATGCTTGCCGAAGGAAATTGCCATTGTCTTCATCACAAGCTTCAAGGCTCACAACTCCACCACTAGAACGACTCACCATTTCATCCTAGGCAACACATGCCGAGGTCAATGGGGGTCAAGGCTAGTATTGTGAAGTGAGCCAAATCTCTTCACATCACATCTAAAGTAGCAGCCGAAGAAGATCCGAGGTTGTCTACCATTGTTGAAGCTTAAAAAAGCTCAAACTATCACCAATCTAAAAATCCGAAGCAAATAGCTCGGATAAGCAAAAGGAATCCGAAGCTCATCGAGCCGAGGCTATCCGAAGGTGTTTCAGCCCAAGCCGAAGGTGTTCTGGGCAAGCCAGCCGAGCCGAGACCGGTGTTTCAGCCAAGCCTAAGGCTTTTCAGCCGAGACCGAAGGAGTTTCAGCCCAAGCCGAAGGCGTTCTGGGCGAGTCGAAGGTGATTCAGCAGAAACCAAGGGTGGTACAGTTTACCGCTCCCAAGTTAAGGTCGGTAACCATAGCCGAGCCGAAGCTCACCTCTTATCTCCTGGCCAAGGCTAGCCATAGTCGAAGCCGAGCCCAGCCGAGGTTTACCTTCGCCGAGATTCGAGCTCCCAGCCGAAGCTCACAACCATATGAGCCGAGGGTGCTGCCGAAGATGGTTTGTCTGAACCGAAGAAGGTTCATCCAAGCCGAAGCTCATACGAGCTAATGCTAGAGCAACCAAAGCAATTAACTTCGGCAGTCAAGTGCAATTGGCTCAAATTGTACCCGACCTCAACCTACATCAAATCTGATGATAACAAGTCAGAAGAAAAATTTACCTTTTGACCATTTTCAAAGAGCTATAAGCCATAAAAAAAAACTACCTTTGTCAGGGTAGATGGCCAGAAGCTTTCTTACTTGCGGCTACTACTTTTATCAAGTAAATGGCTTCGGGCCCACTTTCATCAAAGCCCATCTATCAAATTGCTTCAGCAAAGAAAAATGGCTCTTAATTTTTCGAGTCAATATTTTCCTCAAAAAAAAAAAATATATCATCAACTATCCTCACGATGACGATGATAAAATTAATCATCAATCTTCCTCACGATGATGATGATTAAAAAAAAAAAAAAAAACAACTCTTTCTACCTCGGATCAAGGGTAAACTCTTTCTATCCTCGGATCAAGAGTAAAACTCTTTCTATCCCCGGATCAAGAGTAATAAACTCTTTTTATCCTCGGATTAAGAGTAAAACTCTTTCTATCTTCGGATCAAGAGTAAACTCTTTCTCTTCTCGGATCAAGAGTAATAAACTCTTTTTATCCTCGGATCAAGAGTAATAAACTCTTTTTATCCTCGGATCAAGAGTAAACTCTTTCAGTCCTCGGGTCAAGAGTAATAAATTCTTTTTATCCTCGGATCAAGAGTAAACTCTTTCTATCCCCGGATCAAGAGTAATAAACTCTTTCTATCCTCGGATTAAGGGTAAACTCTTTTTATCCTAGGATCAAGAGTAAACTCTTTCTATCCCCGGATCAAGAGTAATAAACTCTTTCTATCCTCGGATTAAGGGTAAACTCTTTCTATCCTCGGATCAAGAGTAATAAACTCTTTCTATCCTCGGATCAAGAGTAACCTCTTTCTATCCCCGGATCAAGAGTAATAAACTCTTTTTATCCTAGGATCAAGAGTAAACTCTTTCTATCCCCGGATCAAGAGTAATAAACTCTTTCTATCCTCGGATTAAGGGTAAACTCTTTCTATCCTCGGATTAAGGGTAAACTCTTTCTATCCTCGGATCAAGAGTAATAAACTCTTTCTATCCTCGGATCAAGAGTAACCTCTTTCTATCCCCGGATCACAGTAATAAACTCTTTCTATCCTCGGATCAAGAGTAATAAACTCTTTCTATCCTCGGATCAAGAGTATTAAACTCTTTCTATCCTCGGATCAAGAGTAATTAACTCTTACAATCCTCGGATCAAGAGTGTTGCCTCAGATAAACTCTTTCTATCCTTGGATCAAGAGTAATTAACTCTTACAATCCTCGGATCAAGAGTGTTGCCTCAGATAAACTCTTACAATCCTCGGATCAAGAGTGTTGCCTCAGAATAAACTCTTACAATCCTCGGATCAAGAGTGTTGCCTCGTATGAACTCTTTCATTCCTCGGATCAAGAGTAATTAGCTCTTTCAATCCTTGGATCAAGAGTGTTGCCTCAGATAAACTCTTTCAGTCCTCGGATCAAGAGTAATTAACTCTTTCAATCCTTGGATCAAGAGTGTTGCCTCGGATGAACTATTTCAGTCCTCGGATCAAACCTTGGATCAAGAGTGTTGCCTCGGATGAACTCTTTCAGTCCTCAGATCAAGAGTAATTAACTCTTTCAATCCTTGGATCAAGAGTGTTGCCTCAGATGAACTCTTTCAATCCTCGGATCAAGAGTAATTAACTCTTTCAATCCTTGCATCAAGAGTGTTGCCTCGGATGAACACTTTCAGTCCTCGGATCAAGAGTAATAACTCTTACAATCCTCGGATCAAGAGTGTTGCCTTGCATAAACCTGAACAAATAAAGTCCTTCGACTCAATTTCTGTGAACGAATTATTTGGGAAATTGAAACAAAACCCAACTCATTTTTTTCAAATAGAATTGGGTCTCGGGGGCTAATTGTTTGGGTACTAAAATGGTCATACCCATTTTAGTCTTGGGTAACTCTACCCATATAAGCCCAAAGGGCATAAAAAAGGTATAAAAGGCCCCAAATAAGTCAAATACATCAATATGGCCTTCAACGGCCCACATATGTAATTTTAGGGCTCATAAACCCACTTATGTACTCATATAAATACCCCTCAAAGGGCATAAGGTAAAAGGAGGTCACTCTTATCATCTAAGATGACCATACTCCTCCACTCTCTCCCCTAAACTCCTCTCAAAATATGCATTGTTTGGCAACTAACTTGGGCGTCGGAGGCTCCGCCCCGGGTTCAACCCCCGGGGCTCGGGGTTCATTTTGCAGGTCCATTCAAGGCCCAAATTCGAGGTTCTCAGACACCCCTCCAAGGCTCGGTTAGCTCATTTTTTGCCGAAACACTATGTTATTGGTGTAAGAGCTAAAGTTAATTAATATCACAAGTACAATAATATTAATTCAAATAAATTAATAATCAGTACTAGATCGAAAATTATTATTATTATTTTTCCCATGTAATTAATTTATTAATTAATCATGAAAGCATATAAAACTGCCGCTTACGCTTCAAAGATGATGGTAACATCATTGATGAAATGCGCCCATCATCACCTACATTATCCTCCTCATTCTCATTCTCATCCTCATCCTCGTCTTCTGCTTCATTGCTACTCGAGCAAGAAACATTGTTTAATCCTCGAGTTATAACATTATTAGATGTAATAATCGACGAAGAAGAAGACGACGACGTTGTCAATGGTACCACTTGGTTATCATCATCCTCTTCGTCCCCATCCAAGTCATCACCACCCGTGTACCTCGAATAACCTTCCTCTTCCTCATCCTCATCAGTATCCTCATCCTCATCCTCGTCCTCATCCTCATCATCGTCGTAACTCTCATACGCCCCGTCGTTTTCGTCGTGAGCCAGCGGGAGATGCGCCGATTGCACCGGCGTCATCACAGCCGCGGCGTGTCTAGAAGAAGTTGTGGAAGCACACGCAACGCAGAAGGATAGCGAAGGAGGGAGCATAGGACCGGAAGCGGTCCACGGAGTTGGTTTGTTACAAAGATGACATAGTAGTGTTCTACAATGTTTACTAACCAAGAAGTTGGCCTTGTGTACCTTGCCGTCGCAGTGCCAACATAATCTTGCTCGGTCCGACTCGCAGTACGTCGTTGCCGGCAAACTGCATAGCTCGCAACTAGATTTACTATTTTCCATCAGATATCGGAAAATATATGTGTATCAAAGAATATAAAAATATGTGTATAATATATATTGATATGGTAAGTTTAAGAGTTTGTTGTTGGTATTATGAGGAGTATATATATATTGAGTTAAGAACGAAGGGTGTGCAAGTTGGTGGTATTCTAAGGATATTCACTAATTTTATCTTATTTTATTTTATTTTGATTTAATTTGTTCTAAAGGTTAATAAGAAATTATAATTATTGAAGAATTGCCTTTGTATTCTTTATTTCTTTCCTATATATTTTGAGTTAGAGAAATGTGGGGTATGAGACTTGATATCAGGGAAAGTATGTGGAGTGTGATGCAGTTCATTTCGAACATTCAACACGAGGATATTTTTTTTTTGAGTTATGCAGGTGTTAATGTGTGGAACGTACATCTACCCTTCTTTTGTGTGGCTATTATGGTGTCGTTGTAACATTGCTGATGTGGTGGTACGTTGAATGTGGTTCGTTTAAATTTGTTGTACCACGATATTCTTAGTATTTAGAACTCATAGACTCATAGTCATATACTTGTACATAACATTATAGCCATATGTATGTCGTAATTTATTTTTAAGTATTACATAAATATTTTAAGACGGAGAGAATATATCCATTTAGCTACCACAATTTGTGTAGCATGAAGAGTTCTAAGTGGCATACAACCTAAGTAGTACTTGTTTCTGCGGGAATTCGATGACCCAACTCCAAGATCCGAAGCTCGAGTATATAACCCGTTCTGCTCCTATCGGCCAAACAAGAACCTACACACGGAGAAGAGATTAGCTAGCCCCGAAGTGAATCCGGGGATAACCACTCAATGATTGATTAAGTCAGTAAGTGTTTATAGAAAGAGGAAAGAGAATTTAGAGAGAGAAAAGTAGAGAAAGAGAGTAATAAATGCTACCTTATTTATGAGGTAAAATCAGATTATTTATAGGTTGATTAAGTGACGGGTGACAGTTTAATATGCAAAGTAACTTTCGCCACGTGTCAAACGTGAGAATGACACGTGTCAGCTGCTTTCAAGCCGATATGTATATTTTATTTATAAACGCCGATATTAATAAGAATTGTTGATGAACCGGGTCCGAATAGTATGTCGACCTAACATATCATATCGGCCTAACATACAATATCGGCCTAAATGTAAATATCTCCCCATACAGTACTGAATTCAGATGATATTTTTGCTGGAAGTGTTGGCTTTAAATGATCATTTACAACTTGCAAGATTATACAAAGAATAATGATGCAATGCTAAATTCCTAACTAAATGTGATGTGGAAGTTTTTATTTTATTTTTTTTTAAAATTTATAATTTCTTGAGAGGAAATAACGTCAAAGTTTAGATATTGCTTGTCTAATTAGCTGACAAAGCAGTGTTTACTCCTAAGCCCCACCTTCTTTCTAATAATAGCCACCAGAAAGTTGATTTTTTTTGTTTTCTTTTTTAAAATTGGTTGTTGCAAGAAACATCCAGCGCAATTGTTGTGCGCAGTATAATTTGATTAAGAGCATCTAATGCAATTGTCGTACTACCTCTAATTTATTACTCGAATTGAATAAAAGGCTTGGCCGTTCGAGTAGTTTTTCTCAGTTGTGCACGGATTTAGGGTCTGTTCACATTTACTGAATTGAGATGAAATGAATATTTTATAAGAGAAGAAAATTAGGAACTCAACTAAACTGAAATTAAGATGAAGTGAACAAACCCTTAAACATTAATATTTTTCTCATCCTGTTCCTATATTTTTGCCATTTAATTTTTTCACGGTCTTTAAGACACGTTTAAAATGTAAATACATGCATTCTCATACACATAAAAGTTATAAAAACGTGATATGTTAATAAAATATAAAATGATATGACTCTAATAAGATCACACATGACTAGCTATATTATCTATTATTATAGATTACCGGTAATTTAAGATCAAACTTTTCAAAGTTTAACCTAAAAAATAGCAATAGGCAAAGATTAAGGGACAAAAGGAGCAGTATGAATTACTATCGAGGTGGTTATAAGCTGTATTAGATATGGGGCCCAACCATAATGGTGGTATTTGCCTAGAATTGTTAGTGTCCACACAAATTAGAGAAATCTCGTGGTTTCAGTATGGGCTCGATAAAGATACTTGATGTCCTCAATCCTCATTGAGCCATTTCAATAATAATATTGCTTTACACCACTAAAATAGAGTACTTATATTAGCTGTATAAAATTATTATATTTTGCTTCCAAATAAAGTTTACTATACTTCTGTGAGGTTCCTCCTTTTTTTTAGCATACATTATTTCGTGTGGTCATAAATCTTCTATTTCATTCTCATACTTAGAAAGTTTGTTCATTCCCCATTTTTAAAAAAGAAAAAGAAAAAGAAAAAAGGATTCCTAGTGATGTTTTTAGTTCGAATTTCTGAAATTAGGGTGCATGATATTTTTTCAAATTTGTACCTTTTTTTAATTCCTCCTACATGTGAATCTTACCCTTTATTTATATGTACTGTATATGTTATCTCTCCACTGTTACAGTAGTAAACTAGCTATTTTCCCATTTTTATTTCTACTAGAGAAACTTTTATTAAATTGTTAGATTTAGAAAAGAGGCAAATAAAAATAGACTAGACAATTAATAAAGCAATCGAGTTATGATGCAAAAACAAGTGTTTAGAATGGGTGGCTCAAGTTACACCATATCATATCATACTATATTATCTTTGAGTGTTTTAGTAATCACGAGTCTAAATTAATTAAGTAAAAAAGTAATGTGAGACTGGAGACATATTAAAGTTTTAGAATCAAATTTTGTTTACATCATCAATCTATCTACACTGGACCATCATAATAATTTTGCTCCACTCAAATATATATTCCTCTTTTGGCTTTCAACTTACAAATAAAGTGAGCTATACTTTTGTGAGGTGTCTCATGTTTCAAGCATACTTAGAATTGGTCACAAATTTTCAATTTTATTCTTGAAATTTCCAATAAAATTCAATCAAAGATGATAAGGAACCTTATTGTTTTCATTGCCACAATGTGAGGAATTAGGTTAAATTTTAATGTGATTTAGAATCGTTTTTGTTTCATTTGCCTATCTACTATTTTTCTACTTTGTTTTTATCCATAGTAAAACTTTTAATTTGAGAAGACATGAAAAGAAGTCATCAACAATATAAACAAAAGGTACGGAGTAATTAATTGATGAATTAAGACAGGTGTATAAGATTCTATAACATAAAAAATCGTGTGCTTAAATAAATAATAAGAATGAAGTAATAATTGGCTTAATTGATGAAATTATAAGAAGTCGGTACTCAAAATTTGACCATCCATTACAATATATCTTTCACCACTCAAATATGTGGTCCTTATTTGGCTTCCTTATTGATCATAAATCATCTATCTCATCTTTCTATTGTTCGATTAAGTCAAATCAATGAAGAAAGGAATCCTTATTGTTTATCATGAGGATTATAAGTTCGAATTTCCGAATATGAAGTACAAGATATTTAGACATATATGCATTTTTTCATTCCTTATACATGTGATTATGTGAATCTTACTGTTTTAACAAAACATTATAGCTACACTAAGTAGTAGTTATCCAATTTTCTTGAAAGTAACTCTTAATAATAGATACAAGCATGGCTCAAGTTACTATTATTTGAGAGTATAAAATCATGCATGCCTCAAGTTACTTTATATCATATTATTGAATAATCAAACACGTTTAGTAAATAATGAGTATCAACTAGCTTAATTGATGAAATCATAAAAGATGGTACTTAAGATTTGAAATTAATTATGTCCACATATTGATTAGTCTTTGTTACACGATCACGATGTTTTCACACCATTCAAATATGCGATCCTTATTTGACTTTCAAATAAAGTTCGTTTACAATACTTTTGCGAGTTGTCTCATGTTTTTAACATTCTAATTGTTTATAAATGGTCAAAAACTTCCATATTATTTTTAGAATGTCCGATTAAAATTCCATCAACTTGAAATAAATTTTTATTGGTGATTTATTAATCTATTTTAAAATAAACTTTTAGAATGTCCGATTAAAATTCCATCAACTTGAAATAAATTTTTATTGCAATAAATTTTTATTGGTGATTTATTAACATTCAGTTTTGCACTATACATTCCAAATTAATTTGATCACTTTTTTTGTTAGTTTTTGTTTTTGTTTTTTTTTTTCAAAAAAAGTAAATATTACAATTGAAATGTATTCATCTTGATGTGTAGCTTCACAATACCAACTTATTATAATAGTTTTTTTAAATTTATTTTATACATATTCGAAAATATTTACGTTTAAATGCATGCATTGAAGATTGCCAAAAATAAAAAAAGATAATTAAAAAAAAAGACGAGGGAGTGCTTCTCTCTTTAGTTGTGCACTTTGATCATGTTTGTATCTACTTGTGGATTAATATGTATAAATATTACTCTATATCCGGCTCATATTAATTACTTTTTATAGTTTTACTCTATATATATTTTTTGGATACTTCATTTGACATGTTTATATTATTAGCTTGTAGTACTATAGTCACTTCATTAGCCTTTTCATTGGTTTCTAGCTAAGACACATTTAAGTATTTAACTATAATTATCTATTACATTAACGTAAAACAAAAACTATATTGTGCAATGTATTACGTACAGCAAATCTAACAATAATATCCAGTGATAAGTGTTTACTTAAAATCAATTTGACATCTAGAGGTTAAAAAAAATATACTTACATAGACTTATCATTCAATGCAATAGGTCAATATTAAATTTAAATTACATAATTAATAAAGTATTTTTAAAGTTAAAGTTTTTAACCAGACTTTAAAAGTTAAAAGTATTATTGAATACATCGTAATAAGAAGATTTGTGTAGTTGTAAAGCTAAGCCTTTATTTTATTATATAAATCGAATTGTCAAAAGAAAGACCTAAATTTGTTGACACTTAAATAATTTATCCAACCTTTTAATAGGTGTAGTTTTAGCATATCCAATTGAACAAAGATCAGATAAAGCTGGGGCCCACAGAGAGGGTTGTTGCTGATATGGCAACACTACAGCCACGAATTCATCCCTTCCCATATGATTCTTCTAGAATTGTCTGATGACATGGCACAAAACCCATGTGACAAAATCCTACATGGCATAAGATTATTGGTAAATAGATCTTTGGCCCATGTGTACCAAATTATAATAGATTGACTCAAAATAATTTGTAAGGTGAGATAATCTAAATGTGGATGAGGGATATAATATAATAAGATAAGATATGTTCTATGCATCAAGACTTAAATTTGTAATGAAGGTTCTATAATAATAATAACAATATACTATGTATGTACCAACATTAATATGATGATTGATGACCCTTAAAAACTAGGGTCGTCATGGATGGCGTTGGAGTATGTGGGTCTAATTTCGCTACCGCGACGATTGTCTTCTACGATGTATTCAATGGCGTTGCTCATGCTAGGGTGTGGTCCGCACGGGTACATGTACTTGGAGACACACAAAGTTATAGTACACAAAGT